ACAACTGACCCCAAAGTAGAGAAAAGGGGTAAGTTGTAAAACTTTGAAAAACAACAAAAGAGGATTATAACAAATTTATCACCATCAAAAATAGAATGATTGTCCAAGATCAAATTAAAATAGTTTAAAATATTATGCCTTTTTAGTTGTATGTAGAAGCAGTTTTATGTTCTAGTAATAATATGTAACTAAGCATGTACATCTCCATACATTTCAGTTTTTAGGATTTCACATCTGTTTTGTATCAAAACATTTATCCATTTTGTTTGTTCCTTTATTCTACAGGATTAAGTTTGCACCATGGTATGGCCAGTTCTCCTCTGAGCTATTCAGTAACAGACTCTTATGCAGAATACAAGAGTTTTGAAGAGAGCTTTCCATCACCTGAACTGTTCAGAAAATCAGATTATTTAGGTGAGAAAGTAATTCCAACCTTAAGTTGCTCTACTATAGAAATTACTCCTTTGTCCACAAATCCTCCAATGAATAAACGTCCCTTTTGAGAAGGCATACTCCTCTTCCTCACCAACACCTCACTTCCTTGACCATTACCTGTTGTGTTTCACTTCTAGTCACATAGGACTAATAGAGCAAAAGCCCTCAGATCAGGGAAGAATGAAGAAATGTCATTTAGCATTTATATGTAATGCACATCCAATTATTAATCAATTTTGCACCTAATGAATGTGTACTTATTCCCTTGAACCATGTGTTATCTTTTTTTTTCCCTGTACTTATCTTACTTTTCAGCAAATAACTTAAGTGTTAGCTAGGCCAAGTCCCTGCTTGAATTTTCTTCACAAATTAAGAGTTATTTACATTTATTATACATATAAATATAGCCTTTGGTGAATGATGGCAGATCAAATACATGCCTTACTCTACAATCTTACAATGGCAGAAAACGGCTTTTTCTTTAAAGTAATACACTCATAAGGACAAAGATAATTGGAAAACAGAAAAGTACGAAGTTTGGAAGGTTAATCAGATGGTCTGAGGCAGCAGACCTAAGAAAGCAGAGTCCTAAACCAACAATGTGAATACCCCAGAAACAAGCCAGTTTGCACTATAGTGTCACAGAAAAGCTCATAATTTGATTGTGCCAAATACTTGTAAATAGATGTCAAAAACATGAAAGATGTGGTTAACTGCTCCTTTCCTGCTCAAAGGGAGCCTGTAGAGTTATTCTTTAGAATATTTTGAAACAGGGACTCCAGACTGGAGAATACTAGGTACTGTTAATAGCAGGGATACTGTGGTATTTTGAAATGTCAGTCCCAATTATTCATTTCTCTGTAGTATTATTTACCCTCATAATGGGTGGAGTGTACTTTTCTACTCTCTGGCTTTGGGATTGGCAATGTCACTTGCTTTCTGCAACAAACACAATTTAAGAAAAGCTTTCAAATTGCTTAAGTGGTTGGGCTTGTCTTCTTGCACTTTTGCCATTATCATGAGAATGTATCCTAATTAGCTTCTGCCTCTCTCATGGAACCCCAGAATGAGAGTAACAGAGTGGAGCAGCCCAGGCAACCAGCTCACTTTAGAGAGCTGCCCCAGCTGATCTGCAGACTTGTAATCTGAGTTACCTGAGCCAACTAATAGACATGGAAACAAAAAATAAATGCTTTTCATTTTGTGCCACTGAGATTTTTTGGTTGTCAGCCAAAGCTGACTGCTGCAGATAATGTACTGAATTTGGAAGAGGAAATTAAGTAAAAGTGTACGTCCTAAATTATGGGATCTGCTCACCCAATGCTTATTTCCACCCTACCCCAGCAGCCCATTTTTCTTGTCAGCTTCCCAGACTTGAACCTTCTGTTGAGAAAATGAAAGATTATTTTCTCAGGAACTGAGTACCCCAGAAGAAAATATCTAAAGATACTGACCTCAGGAGTCCTAAATGAAACGGACCAGGCAGAAGACCCTACAGTGAAGCCAACTACGTGACAAGCCCCACCTAGGCCATAGGGATTCCACTTAGCCTTTTAGGACCCACTTTTAAATATGAACAGAGAGCCAAGGATCACCAGACTTCTAAGTAAAGCCTCTAACATTAAAAAGAGATATCAAAGCAAAACAAAGTGTGAGAATGCTGTCGCCAAGATGTTGAAACAGGAAGCCATGGCCCTGCCTACTCCTTATGGGCACACCAACAGCAGTATATGGACCAGTTCACTTTGTGTAAAATTCAGAACACAGTAGACAGGCGCCTGCATCCTGGCAAGCATGGGGCCAGCCACATCAAAGCCAGTAGGACAATTTGAGACATCCTCACCATAATTCCTACTCCTAGCACAACATCATACAATTGAGAGGAAACCCATAACACAGTTTTCAGCTTCTCCCTGAGGGGAAGAGCAAGATAAGGGACTTGACAATACATCCAGTGTTCTGAATTCTCTGAGGAATGCCTGAGGGAACTGACTTCTGTCTTGCCTGTCTCAGAGTGCTGATAGGACCCAACATACCCAAGGTGACTGCTGACTGCTGAGAATAAAGATGACAATTTGCTCTAGGACACAAACATTTGCCACTTGCCCTCCACCTGGCTCAGTGCAGAGTGAGTGGTGGGGGGGAAAAAAACCAGATTCCGGCTTCTCCCTCGGGAGAGAAGGAGTTGGACTGTGTGTCCATTGCAGCTTTTTAAGGGATGTTCTTGGGACTAGCTTCTGTCACACCTGTCTTAAAATGTTGACAGGATCTGACATATTCTAAATGCCTGGAGGCTGATAACAACAAAGATGGTGGTTTGGACTAGCAAAAAGATTTGAGAGATCTCTGGGTAGGCTTATTCATAAGGGTCTTCTGTACAATGCCAGTCTGCAAGACTGGGAGAAGTGGATGTTTTTTCTAATGTATAGATGCTGATACCAAGAGTCAAGGAAAATTAAGAAGCAGGGAAACATGGTCCAAACAAAGGAACAAGATAAATCCCCAGAAACTGACCCTAATGAAATGGAGATATACAAATTTTCTGACAACTAATTCAAAATAATCATTATGAAGACGCTCAACAAGCTGAGAAGAACAATACATGAACAAAATAAGAATTTCAACAAAAAGAAAGTTTTAAAAAGAACAAAATAGGTATTTTTGGTGCTGAATAATACTATCACTGAACTGAGGGCAGGCACAGTGGCTCATGCCTGTAATCCCAATGCTTTAGGAGGCTGAGGTGGGAGGATCATTTGAGCCAAGGAGTTTGACGTTACAGTGAGCTGTGATTATGCTACTGCACTCCAGCCTGGGTGACAGAGAAAGACCGCTCTAAAAAAAAAAAAAAAGAAAAATTCAGTAGAACAATATAACAGCACACTAGCTCAAGAAGAATAAAGAATTAGTGAGCTTGAGGACAGGTCATTTTTAAAGACTCCAAAAGCAATTGCAAGAAAAACAAAAATTGACAAATGGGACCTAATTAAACCGAAGAGCTTCTGCACAGCCAAATAAACTATCAACACAGTAAACAGACAACCTACAGAATGGGAGAAAATATTTGCAAACTATGCATCCAACAAAGATCTAATATCCAGAATCTATAAAGAATTTAAATCAGCAAGCAAAAAACAATCCTATTAAAAAATGGGCAAAGGGCATGAATATAAAGAAGATTAAAGAAGTATGTCTTCTTCTCATTAGAGAAATGCAAATCAAAACCACAATGAGATACCATCTCATACCAGTCAAGGTGGCTATTATTAAAAAGTCAAAAAATAACATGTTTGTGAGATTGTAGAGAAAAGGGAAAGCTTATACACTGCTGGTACACAGAGGAAATGGGAATGTAAATTAGTTTAGCCAATATGGAAAGAAGTTTGCAGATTTCTCAAAGAACCTAGAACTATCATTTGACCCAGCAATCCTATTACTGGATGTATTTCCAAAGGAATCATTCTATAAAGACACATGAAAACATATGTTTGTTGTAGCACTTTTCATAATAGCAGAGACATGGAATCAACCTAAATGCCCATCAGTGGTAGACTGGATAAAGAAAGTGTAGTACATGTATACCATGGAATACTACACAGACATAAAAAAGAATGAAATCATATATTTTGCATCAACATGGATGCAGCTGCAGACCGTTATCCTAAGCAAATTAATGCAGGAACAGAAAACCAAATACGGTATGTTCTCATTTATAAGTGGGAACTACACATTGAGTACACATGGACACAAAGAAGGGAACAGTAGATACTGGGGCTTACTTGAGGTTGGAGGGTGAAAAGAGGGTGAAGATTGAAAAACTACCTATTGAATACTGTGCTCACTATCTGGGTGACAAATCATTTGTACACCAAGCCCCAGTGACACACGGTTTACCCATGTAACCTGCATGTGTACCTCCTATATCTAAAGTAAAATTTAGAAGAAAAATAAAGGTCATTTAGTATTATGCCATTAGTGAAGAAAAAGGAATGAAAAGATTGAAGAAATCCTAAGAGATTTGTGAGCCACTATCAAGCAGACCAACATTTGCAATATGGGAGTCCCAGAGAAGAAGAGAGAAAGGACTTGAAAGTGTAATCAAAGAAATAGTGGCTAAAATCATCCCAAATCTGGGGAATTAAATGGACGTTTAGATCCAGGAAGCCCAAGGGACCCAAGTAGAAGGAATCTAAGAAATCCACGCTGAGAAACATTATAATTGAATTGTCAAAAGCCATATATAAAGAAAAATTTGAAAGCAGCAAGTAAAAAGTGACTTGACATGTACAGGGGAGCTGCCATAAAACTATGAGTGGATTTCTCAGCAGAAACCTTACAGATCAGAGAGAATGGGATGATATATTCAAAGTGCTGAAAGAAAAATCAATCAAGAACAGTACACCCAGGAAAACAGTCTTTCAAAAATGGAGAGAAAAGGAGTTTCCCAGACAAACAAAAGCTGAGGGAATTTACTACGACTAGACCTGCCTTACAAGAAATGCTGAAAGGAGTTATTTAAGTTGAAACTCAAGGATGCTAAACAGTAACATGAAAGTATAAAACTCATTGGTAAAGGTAAATATATAGATAAATACAGAATACAGTAATATTGTAATAGTAGTTTACTGTTAAGCTCTTCAATTTAATTATGTCCCATTTGTCAATTTTTGTTTTTCTTGCAGTTGCTTTTGGAGTCTTTAAAAATGACCTGTCCTCAAGCTCACCAATTCTTTATAGTAGTTTACTATTACAATAGTAATGTAATAGTAATTGTAATACTGTACAGAATACAGTAATATTGTTATAGTAGTATACCAGAATTAAATCACTTTTAGTTCTAGTATACGAGTTAAAAGATAAAAATGTCAAAAACTAACTGAAGATGTTAATAATACAACTAAAATATATAAATTGTGACATGAATAAAGTGCAAGAGGGGGAGAAGTAGAAGTGTAGTTTTTGTATGCAATTGAAATTAT